CTCTTATGGAAGCAACGTTCTTCTCCACCCAGATGAGAATCTTCGTCTCCTCCCTGTGCAACTGTGGAGATAGCGATCTGTCCTGTTTGTTAATGTATGCCTTGGTTGAGATATTGTGTGTCCTCACCAAGATGTGTTGGTTGCGCAGATGAGGGGCGAAGTGACGGATTGCTCTGATTTCCAACAGGTTGATGGGTAGCGTCATCTTGGTCGGCAGCCAAGTCCCCTGGACTGGAGATCCCTCCAGTGTTGCCCCCCAACCTTGTAGGCTTGCGTCTGTGAAGAGTTCCCTGGTGAGACCTATATAGTAGTCCTTGCCTGCTAATAGACTGTCCACATTCATCCACCAAAGTAGACTCCTCTTGACCTTGTAAGGAACCTGAAGGTTGAAATTCTTGTTTTCCATAATGAGGAGCTGGTAAGGATGAAGAAAGACTTGTAAGGGTTTGGCGTGTAGGCGTGCCCATTATATCAACTCTATGCTGGAGATCATCTGTCCCAACTGTCTGGCCAGCTCCATGAGGAATGAGGACCTGCTGCGGTATACCAGAACAGCCATGTCTCTGAGTTTCTGGGCTTTGGACCACAGTAGGAAGAGGGCATTGCAAGTAGTGTCGATCACTGCTCCTAAATGTTCTATTCGTGGTGTTGGTAGCAGAGAGCTCTTGTCAAAGTTGACCAGGAACCCATGATTCTGAAGACATTGTCTTGCTTTTTCAGTGTTCTTGAAGGCCTCTGCATGGTTGCTGGCCCAAACCAACAGGTCGTCCAGATACGGATGTACATGGATCTCTTGACTCCTGAGATGCACAACGGGGTTGATGATCAACCGAGAAAAGAGCCTGGGTGCCATGGAGAGACCAAAGGGGAGTGCTCTGTACTGGAAGTGCTGATTGTACATGCAAAACCAGAGAAAACATTTGTGGGCCGAATGAACTGGCATATGGTCCATGAGGTCTATGGGAGTCAGGAACTCGTCTGGTGATAACGAATCTGCTATGGATCTCAGAGTTTCCATGCGAAAGTGCCTCAGCCTGATGAATCTGTTTAGAAACTTGAGATCCAAGATCGCTCTCCAATCTCCATTCTTCTTGGGTACCATGAACAATATGGAATATACACCCCGGCCCCTCTCGCCAATGGGAACTGGTTCTATGGCTTTGATGTCTGACAAATGCTGTACGGCTTTGTTGACAATGGCCATCTTGACCCTGGATTTGCTTGTAGGTGATTTCAGAAATCTCTCTGGTGGATGACATAGGAACTGTATTGTATATCCGTGAGTCATGGTCTCTACTGCCCAGCTGTCTGCCTGTGCTTCTGTCCAAGCCTTTGCAAAATGTAGAAGACGTGCCCCCACCAGAAGGGATAAGTAGTCATGCCTGTTTGAGCTTGGTGTCCTGGTCTCCCCTGTCATTCCTATTGAATGCAGATTTATGGAATCTGGATGTAAAGGAACGTTTGCCTGATGGCTTCGGCGTTTCCCATTGAGCTTTCTTGGTATCATGGTGGAATCTTGGCAAAGAGTGTTGTGTACGACAAGGCTGGTTGCTCCGCCTGTCGGAATGTCTGATGGACCTGGGCATGGCCTTTTTCTTGTCCTGGGTTTCCACCAAGATGCTGTCTAATGCCTCCCCAAGAAGGCAATCCCCTTGAAAAGGTTAAGCCATAACAATGGATTTGGATAAGGCGTCTGCTTGCCGAGCCCGTAGCCAAAGGAGCCTTCTTGCCACAGCCATGGACGCCATGGCCATTGAGGCAAATGAATGAATGTCCAAGGTGGCATCAGCAGTGAAGGAGTTTGCCTTGAGAATGCGAGAGGCTCCCTTGATCAGACTGCGGCTGTTCTCTGGCAGTAGTTAGATCAACTTGCGTACCCACACTATGGTAGCTCTGGATGCGATTGAGGTTGTAGACACTGCTCTCACCATCATGGCGATAGCTTCATGGATCCTTCTGAATGTTGCCTCTGTCTTCTTGTCAGTGGGGCCCTTGATGGTACCCTGACCATCTTCAGATAGTAATTCCGATGACTGAAGCGCTGCTACTGGGCCATCCACGAGAGACACCTGTAACAACTCATTAGCATAGTTAGACAATGCATATTTTTTTAGCAAATGCAAGGAACTGCTTGTTAGCCATGGGTTTGTCTCACTCAGCTCTGAGTTGACATTCAAAATCCTCTGGGAATGGAAACACCTGTTCCGTATATTCCTCTGGAGGGAAGAATTCAGAATTACCCCCAGATTTGGACTTAAATTTGGCCTTGGCCGCCTTTTAGTACTCTGGGGGCGGTAAATCATGAATTTCTAGAGCCTTAATGGCTTTAGTAAGAAAATATTGATAGTCCTCTGCCCTGAAAAAACAGCTGGACTGCTCTGGGAGTTTTATTTCTTACTCCTCCTCCTCAGACAGGAACTCTCCCTCCTCTGTCATCTAAAGGGGAGGCTGTAGATTCCACCTCCTCCCGCCATTGTTCCCCTCTAGGTTTTCCCTGATGTGGAGGGGGGCCTTTTGAGCTGCCTTGGTTGGCCAGCCTGAGTGGGAGGGAAGTATAGGCCTCCCGTTGGCCAGAGGAATTAGATTTGGAATGAAATTGGGACATCTCCTAGTGAATGGTCTGCCTGATAATGGCCATCAGTTCGGAGGAATGGACCAGGACCCCTTTTTTTGGTAGTTTACCCCCCTGCATTGCTGCTTCAGTCTCTTCCTCCGGCTCGGATAGGTCCAAAGAGATGTTAGGGTGAACTCCTTCAGCCCCGGCAGGTCCTGGAATTGCCCCCTGGAAGGTTCCGAGGCTCGGAGCCGGACCTCCAAAATGGCTGCCAGTGGCCCGAAGGCACATTGAGAAAATGGCGGGCTCTTCTTTTGAAGGCTGCTGGTGGAGCTTGTGGGCGCGCTGCACAGCCGCCAGTTCAGCCGTGCACGTTGGGGGAATGTAATCTAGCCTAGAAGGCAACCCTGATGGTGCTTCGTGCAATCACCGTCTCTGCAGCCCATGCATCTCCCTCGTCACCCGAAGAGAAGCCCTTAGGAATGTCTTTTGCCGCCATTTCCGCAGCTGCCGGGGACTCCCTCTTTGGGTCTTAGCGACCCCTTTGAAACTTCGCTCCAAACTTGGAGCAACTAAAAAGAGGAAGGAAGGAGAAATCAGAAGAAAAAGGCAAGGCAAGGAAGAGGAAGAAGAGAAGAGATTGGATTTATACCCCACCCTTCACTCAGAGTCTCAGAGCAGCTTACAAACTCCTTTCCCTCTCCCTCTCCACAACAGACACCCTATGAGGTAGTTGGGGCTGAGAGAGCTCTTTCAAGAACTGCCCTTTCAAGGACAGCTCTTGTCAGAACTATGACTTGCCCAAGGTCATCCAGCAGCTGCAAGTGGAGGAGTGGGGAATCAAACCCGGTTCTCCCAGATTAGAGTCCACACACTTAACCACTACACCAAAGAAGAAAGTAGAATAAAGAAACTACAGCTAAAGCCTAACTAGTTTTTTTGCTGCTGCTCCCTACTGAGGTAGGAATAGAACTGGGGGATGAGCTATTTCGGAGGCACCAAAAGGAAGAGGAAAAAACTATTCCCTGCCTCCTTAAAGGCATGGTGGGAATAACCCATGGAGATGTCCTCCACCTCATAGGAGAACTTAGACAATGCAGGAAAAAAGTTGAGTTGTTTGAAATGTTGGGTTGAGGGAGAATTTTATGGATACCGTGGACTGCCAAAAAGACAAATAAATGGGTTCTACATAAAATCAAGCCTGAATTCTTCACAGAAGCTAAAATGACTAACTGAGACTGTTGTACTTCGCTCACATTATGAGAAGATGAGACTCACTGGAAAAGACAATAATGCTAGGAAAAGTTGAAGGCAACAGGAAAAGAGGAAGATCCAACATGAGATGGACTGACTCAATGAAGGAAGCCATAGTCCTCAGTTTGCAAGGCCAGAGCAAGGCCATTAACATTTGGAGGTCATTATTCATACGGATGCCGTAAATTGGAAAACACACAAATTCTTTAGGGCAGGGACCTTTCCCCCTCATGTTGCTCTACAGATGGGTAAACAAGTATATAGCTTACAGTGGTGATAGTCTGACCCACAAATCAAACAGTCATTAAGACTTATAAAGAATGCTATCTATGTATTGCAATCTGAAGCACTACAACATGACAAACAAATCATAAGAAAATCCTTGAACCAAGGTACATAATCAACGTCGTCTCCGGATTATATAACAAAGTTTCAAAAAACTCTCTGTTTCATGAGTGCTAGACAACAAGTCTTAAGAAATATTAAATTCAGATAGGACGCTGATCTCAGTTAACATTCAGGCTCAAAATATGCTGCTATGTTTCTAATGGATCTCAGGTTGCAATACATAGATAGAATTCTTTATAAGTCTTAATGACTGTTTGATTTGTGGGTCAGACTATCACAACTGTTGGCTTTATACTTTTTTACTGATCGGGTCGTGTTTGTCCAGATTTATTTTGCTCTACAGATGGGGCCATGTTCAGAATTAGGTATTACTTCAAAATCTGGTGGACAGGAAAGAAGCTGCAGTTGTTCAATGGTGAGGGGAAAACATTCTCCATGTGCTCAGTGACACTTGAATCTATTTGTACTCAAGAATTCTCTACCTTGGATTCACAGAGTGATTTTTAGCTAATTACTTACTGCTGTGTCTCAGCATTTCTCAGCTGTAAAATGGGATGAAAGTATTAACACATAATTATTTAACAATATAGTGCAGATAAGTAACTCTGCCCTGCCCTCTCTCTACACACTCATGCATGAAGAGTCCCTAGGTTCAGCTGTGAAACAGTGGTGTACATACTAGAGTAGGAAAGTCTGAAACTAGAGGTGGTTAAGGAAAGAGAAAGAGAATGGGAAGAGGAAGAGGAACTATCAGGAAAGGAGGAGGAGGCACTATAGTTGTCCAACCTGCAAAGCTGTTCTTGCTTGCCTAACTCAAAGATTCATACCAATTCCCTTTACCTACCAGCTCTGGACTAGTTTAACCGAGGGTCTATTCAGCAAGTTGTCAGGCAATAAATTTACTTCCCTCATGGTATTAGCAAGCCGCACAGGAAGTTCTTTTCGCAGAAACATATATGATGTTTTCTCACAGGCATTATCACGTCCTTTGGAAAGAAAAAACAGAAATTACAATGAAACATCTAGCATACTGTATTACATTGTATCGGCAAAACTGTGTATGTCTTATTTTCTTTTTATTTATTTACAATATTGCTAGACTTCCTTTACCCACAATTATTGGCTTGATGTGGTTTACAATGTACACAAAGCAATAAACACAAAAACCAAGACAAGGAAGTACACACACACCATTTGAGCATCAGAGCGAAATCAAGTCAGTGGGAATACAATGTCAAGTATGCCTGTAACATTTCACATATACTGTTAACCTGGAACTTCAAAGCGTTCTTCAGTCCATTACGTGAGAGCACTAAGAAGAATCTAACTAACCTTCTTGATTTTACACTTGTGCACATAAATTTTGCTACCTTCAGATGAAAAATATTTGTCATTTGCTGCATCCCAAGTGGGATCCTAATGTCATCTTGCAAAAAGTTTCATTACTATAAAAAGGGAAATGATGATTTCCCACAAGGGGCACTTGATTCCTATGGGCTGTTCCACTATTTGCATAAAATTTTGCTGCTTATATGCCTGACAGAAGAAGAAGAAGAGATTGGATTTATACCCCGCCCTTCACTACCCAAAGGTGTCTCAGAGCGGCTTACAAACTCCTTTCCCTTCCCCTCCCCACAACAGACATCCTGTGAGGTAGGTGGGGCTCAGAGAGCTCTTGACAGAAACTGCTCTTTTTCAAGAACAGCTCTTATCAGAGCTACGGCTTGCCCAAGGCCATCCAGCCAGGTGCAATTGGAGGAGTGGGGAATCAAACCCAGTTCTCCCAGATTAGAGTCCGCGCACTTAACCACTACACCAAACTGATGGGCACTTTCTCTCATCAACCTTCCTTTTCCAATCTATTCAGTCTTCAACCAATGCTTGAAAATAATAATTCTGTGAAGGGAGATTGAACTGAGTCCTGACAAAATAGAAGTGATGGTCCATAGTCTTCTATAATCCATGGGAGTCTTTCCACTCCTGACAATGGTCGGTGATGGTGGTGGAGGAGGAGGTGGATATTGGATTTATACCCCACCCTTCACTCAGTCTCTCAGAGCGGCTTACAATCTCCTATCTTTCCCCCTCCCCAAACAGACACCCTGTGACTGCTATTCCATGCCCAGAAGATAACAAAAAAGCCTCCAGGCTTACCTTTAAAGTTTAAAGAGCAAACTGGCCTCCCTGAGGTCCCGGACTCCTCTAAAACGTTAAACTAAGGACCTTTTTTTTTTAACAAACGCAGGGGCGAAGCTTCGCCCAAGCGCATATCGCCGACCTAAAAAAAATATGGCAAGCGAAAATCGGAAGCCTCGGGCTTCCGAACAGAAGTGGCTCTACAACATTGGAGAGCGATCAGACGGGGGGGGGGGGGGACAAAGTGTTACAAAGTGCGGAAGTGGCTCTACAGCGGTGGAGAGGGGGGGGGGAGTGGTGTAAATTGATTACAACCGTTGCACTCAGGATACCACCACTTGGGGACCTAGTGGCAGAATACAACGGTTTAAAGCTCTTTGCAACGGTTAGGGACAGAAGGCAGATGTTCGCCGTGTGAACGCCGGTAAGTACACCGATTTCAACCGGCACCTATACCATTGCAAATGCCCCGTCTGAACGCACCCATGATCTGCCTAAGTTCACAGAATCAGCTTTGCTGTCAGATAGCCATCTAACCTCTGTTAAAAATGAATACATCAGATTATATTCAAGAAATCAACAGACAATTAAAGGATAGATCCTTTTATTTACCTAGTATGTCGGATCCTACTAAACACATTATGAATATTATCAAAGTTACTGTAATGGAAGCTGCCCTAATGGGATATATTAATGAACACACAGCTTCTTATCTTTTACAAAAATATCCAAAGGTGCCAACTTTTTACGTTTTACTAAAAATACATAAGGGAATCCTGCCTCCTCCAAGGAGACCTATTGTGAGTGGCATAGGTTCTCTTCTAGAACCTTTGGCTAAATATGTAGACTCTTTCCTACAACCATTTATTCCAGGAATTAGAACATATATTAAGGACACCAAAGATCTGATTT